GAGATGTGTAGATAAATATATGCGGACAAAATGCCATAAATCTTTTTTTTTAATTCCTAAAATTATTAGGGATTCAGAGATGTCAAAAGAATGGTCATCCCAGCAAAACAGGCCAAGCCACATGGCAAACCATCAGGCGGCTTGGCAGTTTCCCTGAGTAGCAGGCTGCTTTTTCTCACTCCCCAAATGCAGTGTGGACCTTGACCAAGTCCCTGCTCTGGAGACTTCCTCTCCTTTGCCTTCTGTTCTTCCAGGAGTGACACAAATGGACTGTATTAAAATCACAGGCAATGACAGGGTCCATTGACAGATGAATTGGTAAACAAACTGTTGTGTAGAGGCCCAATGGAGTGCTACACAACAACACAAAAGGGTGGACTCTTGATACACTCAACAATATGGATGATTCTCTAAATATTCTGGGAAAAAACAAATCCAGCACTATGGCTCCCCATAAAAGAGTCTTACAGTATGAATTCCTTCTGTATAAAATTGTACGAAATGCAAACTAATCTATAGCGACAAGATCAGTTGCTACTTGGGAATCGGGGTTGGGGGGTCACCAAGAGGGGTAGGAGGGAGAGTTGTAAAGGGGCATGAGGAAATTTGGGGGCACGATGCATGTGTTCATTATCTGGATTGCGGTAATGGTTTTGCAGGTGTAGACATATGTCAAAACTTATCAAATTGTACGCTTTATATGCACTTTATTGTAGGTCAATTATACCTCAATAAAGCTGTAAAAACATATCATCACAACATGATCTTTAGGTGACTTCCAACCGACTCCCGACTCCATTTTTCCCATGACGCCTCTTTGATCCCTTTACCGAACTCCTTTGAAGAAACATTATTAGCCCCAAGCAAATATCCTTTTGTTCTTAAAAGCCACTCCAATCCTGGTTGTTCCAACTGAAAATAAGAGGGGAATATTGTAAGTAACCCCCTTGATTATTATTAAGGACACAGTTTTCCACTCCTCTTCTCCCAAGCTCACCCAAATCTTACCGGGATCAAATGTCTTGAAAGAAGACTTTTATTCCCTGTGTTAGGGCATAAAGAAGAAATTTTTTTTTAAAGTTGTTTTTCCAGCAACTTTCAGTCTTGCAATGCAAATGAAGTGAAGCCAAGATTTTAAGAGTTGCCTGGTTCCTTTGGGGCTAACCCAGTTATTAATAATAAGGGCTCTGACTGTGCAAAAGGGGGTCTCTTCTCTCTTTGGAGTAGCTCCCTCACCAACAATGAGCTTGATAAGAGGACCAAACAAAGAACAATCTAGAGATAGGAAGATGTGGGTGGCTGGGGTGGGAGTATCTTTTTATCCTGCTTCAGCCTACAACGGCAAAATCAACCGGCCCGATGTAAAGTTTTGCAATTTCTGACCATTGGCCTACATTCCTGAAAGGTTACATGCAAGAGAGAAATGTGGTAGCTGTGTGTGTGTGTGTGTGCATGCGTGCGTGTGTGTGTGTGTGTGTGTGTGTGTGAATGTGTTTTAAGTTGAATCATTATGTTCTCATTCATTTGCTATAATGAAGAAATAGACTTGGGATCACTTGGAGTCTGCTTTGCAATTTACAAGCTTTGTGCTCAGAGGCAATCCCTTGACTTCTCTAAGCTTCAACTTCCTTCTCTAAAATGGAGCTGAACTAAAGGGCTGATCTGAAGATTACATAAAAGGAGAATGACATAGGGCCGGGTCTATGGAAAGCACTAGATCATGCTTTATGAAATTTGTATTGTAAATAAATATCCATTGAAGTATAATTCCAGAGTCCCTTATCTCTCCTTCTGACAAGGCTTCATTTGGTTATTGCTCAATGCCACATAACTTTAAGCTTATCCTTCTCAACTTCTGCTACATTAATAATCCAAATCTGCAAACAGACAAGAACATGTTACAGGCATTTGCTACTTAAAACAGCAACAGCTAACACTATTGAACACTTAAAATGTGCCAAACATTATACTTTTATAATTGTCATTTTAATTGTTGTTGACATACAATGTTATATTAGTTTCAGGTACACAACACGGCAATTAGAGAATTCTGTACATTATGCGGTGCTCCCCACAATAAGTGTGGTCACCATCTGTCACCATACAACATCATTACAATATTATTGCCCATAGTCCCTGTGCTGTACATTTCATCTCTATGACTTACTTATTTTATAACTGGAAGTTTGTACCTCTTAATCTCTTTCATCCATTTTACCTGTCCCCCATCCACCCACCTCCCTTCTGGAAAGTTCCAATTTGTTCTCTGTATTTAAGAGTCTCGTGTTTTGTTTGTTCATTTGTTTTATTGTCTAGATTCCACATATGAGCGAAACCATATGGTATTTGTCTTCTTCTGTCTGACTTATTTCACTTAGCATAATGCCCACTTGGTCCATCCATGTTGTCACAAATGGTAAGATTTAATTCTTTTTTATGGCCGAGTAATATTCGTGTGCGTGCGTGTGTGTGTGTGTGTGTGTGTGTGTGTATCACATCTTCATTATCCATTCATATAGGGAAGGCCCCTTGGGCTGCTTCCATATCATGGCTATTATAAATAATGCCACAGTAAACATAGAGGTGCATATATCTTTTCAAATTAGTGTTTTCATTTTCTTTGGGTAACTACCCAGTAGTGGATTGTATGGCATTTCTACTTCTAATTTTTTGAGAAGCCTCCATACTGCTTTCCACAGTGGTTTACCAACTTATATTCCTACCAACAGGGCACAAGGGTTGCCTTTACACCACATCTTGGCCAGCTTGTCTCATTTTTTAGTCTAGCCATTCTGACAGGTGTGAGGTGTTACCTCATTTTGTGTGTGTGTGCTTTTCTTTGCTTTCATATTATCATTACTCCCATTTCACAGATGAAAAACTGAGGCACAGATTAAATCATTTTCCAAGGTCACACTGCTAATAAGAGGCAGGATGAAGGGGGAGGGAGGTGAAAGGGGAGGATTTAAATCCGGGCAGTCTGACTGTGGAATACCTGTACTTAACCACTACTCCACATTGCAAGATTGGTTTTTTGCTTTTCGGTTTTTTTTTAATGGATTTTTAATGGGCACCTGGGTGGCTTTGTTAAGTGTCCACCTTCAGCTCAGGTCAGGATCTCCCCATTCTTGAATTCGAGCCCTACATCAGGGATCTCTGCTGTCAGCATGGAGCCCCCTTTAGATTCTCTGTCTCCCCCCTCCCCTGCTTGCTCTCTCAAAAATAAATACGCCCTTAAAAAAGTAAAAAATGGATTTTTAAATCATTACCGGCTTACTGCTCGATAATACTGGATACTGTCAGAAAAATCACAGCAGTCTTAAGAAAGGGATTTTTGGAAATGCTAGATCATCCGAAGTCCACCTGCTGCCTCTAGGCAAGGCCAAAGTTAAACTACTCAGGTCCGGCCAAAAACTTCCTGCGAACAGAATCCCAAAGCTTCCACTCATAGTTCATTCCAAAGCGTAACAGTCAGGATATTCTTAAATTACAACTAATTACAAATCCTTTATACTACAGGATAAGCCGCATTCCTTGGGCTGATAAACCCCAATATTTCCAATTCTCTGACTCATCCACTCAACTATTAAGTAAACTTATTAAGTGTGCCCTGGTGAATTATTTCACTAAAGGTGGAGATAAAAACCTCTTAAATTCTGATAGGATCAATCAGGAGACTGACCAGCTGGGAGGAATGGCGATTCGTAGTGACAGGGTGGGGGGAGAAGTCCTCGTTGATGGAGGTGGGCACAGGGCGCCCAAGGCAGCACCAGGCAGCCCACGGGTGGGCTTAACCATATAATGCTGAAACATCGCAGCAGACTCATCCAGGGCAAACCCAGGGTGAATTCCAAGCAGCCATGCCCGGAAAACCTACGCTTTTCTTTCCCTGTGTCCTAAATCTGTCTAGCAGCACCATGTTGCCATCTTCTCTGTGTAAAAGCTTTTCATTTACTGAGGGCTGCAATTAAGTGGACTCTTTTCTCTTCTGCAAACAAAATAACTTCAGAGGCTGAATGAGAAACGTCCCGATGTGCCGCTGTTGAACAGCCACGGCTGCGGACGACGTGAGGCCCTTAGCCCACGACACCCAAGCTCGAGGAGATCCCGACCCCGGTGCCATTAGGCCTTCAGTCTGCATTTACTGAGTACCTAAGCTGTCCTCAGGGAACTGACAGTCCCCCCAGGGACAGGGCACCTGCCTCTGTGTACTGCAGTGACGTGTTACAAGGGCAGCACGGCTCCCAGCGTCGACAGAGTGCAAGGGAGGCTTTCATCCAGTTCACCCCGCAGCACACTGAGCTCAAGATCCTGTTTACCAAAACTGGGATAATAATTCTTTCTTAGTCTACGGTATGCTGCTGTGGGGACCTCAAAGGCCGAGGGTCCTAGAAAAGCATAAAAGGCAATTCAAAATAGGGACTGTTTGTTGACGAACGACGTAACGGTGCTAACCCACGCGTTAGAAGATGTGTTTCATTCACCGGTGCTGCAGGAAAGCGTGAGCAGAGGGCTAGAACGGCTGCAACGCGCTGGTGCCTGCTCCGAAAAACACACTTGACCTAATGGGGCGGGGGATGGGGGCGGGGGATCCGGAGCACATTCCAAAGTCAAGACCTCGGAAAGCGACACGCTCAGTCACTCGGCACCCGCCGCTGCTAGCGTCCTCCCGCGCGTCACTCTGCAGGCGCTCAGCACCGTCCTCGCCCTGGAAACCCTAACCGCATGTCCCAACCCGCTGGACCTAGCCGAGAGCGCCCCCTGGCGCCCACGCGCGGCCCCCGAACCCGCGGAGCGCGGGGGCGGGGCTGACGAACGAAGAAGGCGGGGGGGGGGGTCTTCTCGCGTGAACTAATGGCGTCATCGAGGCGACGGGCCCGGAAGGAAGTAGCGTGTGGAGGGGCGTGGCGGTTCCTACGGTTGCGCTGGGGTTCGGACGAGTACGGAGCGCCTGGAGGGACAGCCTGGTACGCGGCCCCCGCCCCTTAGTGCGCGCACTGGGCCTCTCTGCGGCTCCGGGCCGGAGCTGATCAGCCGTCCTCCCGGGCTCGAGCCCCAGCAGCCTTTATCCCTCAGGAGCTAGAAAGCAGCCCCTTTCTGTTTCGTCCCTTCCCCGCGAGCCCCAGGGCGCTTGGGACGCGTGACCCTCTCTCGGAAGGGAGCAGGGAAGGGGCGCGATTTGGGAGCGGGGAGCGGGGCATTTGCAGAAGGGACGCAGCTGCGGACCGGTAGCTGGCGTCCGCTACGGTAAAATAAGCGCCTCGCAGATGTCTGAGCCCGAGTTATGTTAGACCTGGGAGGCAGAGTCCACGCCCTGCATGGGTGGGCCCAGGCACGGCTGACTGAACTTTGCTGTCAGTTACCATCGTTTTTCCAGATGCTTCGGTGTTCAGCAGATGAGTCTCTAGATGCCAGCTCTTTCTCATCCTGGTGCCTGAGCGCTGTTGGACCCAGGAGCCCAGTCTTCCCACCCTGGGGAACCCTCTTTCCCCTCTAACCGTGGGGCTTGGGGACCTGTCGGGTGCAAAGTGCCGGTCAAGTGTATGGGAGGGAGTGTTCAGAGCCCTCCCCCGTTTAGATCCAAAAGAATAACTGGGAAGGTGGACGAAAAGCCAGAGAAATCCCATCGTGGAATTCTGCTCACATGCTGCCTCTGTCGCTCCAGCATCTGGAAGGACTAAATAATGGTTTCTTTTGAAATGGCAGGCAATTAGGACTGGGAGGCTCAGACCAGAATTACATAGCCACAACTGCCTGCCATTTGACATCCTCTGTAATTTGGGCAACATGCTGCAGCTGCCTCTCTTCCCTTTTACGAGCGTGAGTGGCTCCAGTGACAGCACATTCGTGTTCACAGGAAGAGAAGGCTGTGTTCTGAACGCTGCCCAATTGGCACTGGTTCTCTCTTGGGACCCGGCTGTATCTGGAGCCACTGCCTCTCCTGCGAGGTTGGGAATATAATTCCACAGCTAAGGAAGGAGTGGGAAGGTTGCCTGAGAACAGGGACGAAGAGAGTTGTAGATCTAGCTGTGTGTTCATATTACAGCAGGCTGGCTAGGAGCCACTTCCATAGAGCCCGGCTCAGTAGTGTGCTCTGTCTCCTCGGCATAGCTTTTCTCCTGCATGTCGGACCACACACGTTTTCCTGCGTCTTTTTCCCCAGGATAAAGGCTCACTGATGGCTCAGTTGGGAGCAGTTGTGGCTGTGGCTTCCAGTTTCTTTTGTGCATCTCTCTTCTCAGCTGTGCACAAGATAGAAGAGGGACATATTGGGGTGTATTACAGGTAAGGAAGGAACGGAGAAGCTTGCAACTTCCTGGTAAATGACTCTCTTTTGTAGTCACTGTCTCGCATATTCTGTCGAACAGCTGTGTATATTGAATAGAGGAGTCTTTTGGCTTGAGCTGTCGTGTCAGTGACGAGGGGAAGGGGGGACACACACACACACACACACACACAGGCTTATACACATATATAAATGTAAATATAAAACTTAGTAGTCTTAGGTTGATGCCGTGGAGGGTGAATGATGAATGTATATAGAGGTTTAGAGTTGAAATCTACAGGAAACTGGTGCTTGCAGATTATCTCTGAAACCTCGTTTTCCCCTGGCCCCCAACCAGCATCCTGGTACCGCAAGGTCACCTCCAGTGGGCAGCAGTTCTTGATGGCAACTTGAGCTAGCCTGCTCGGCTAGCCCACTCTTTAAAATTTCAGGCAAAATGAAAACTCCTGCAGATTGATGGCAAAGCAAGCTCTAGGATAGCGGTTCTTACAAGAAACCCCCCTTGTGTCACTATTTTATTGCTCTTTTAAAAAATAATAATAAATTGTATTTTTTTTCCTTCATAGTATAAAGCAAAGAAGCACTAACAAATCTTGGGTTGCTTTCCTTTCAGTAACCTCCAGGACCAACCTTTTCGCTTTAAGTCTTTATGAACTCCTTCTTATATATGCTCAAGATGCATATTCCTGGATTGCCGATGGCAAGTTCTAAAAGTCTCGTTGGGTTCCACTTTCCCCTTTATGTCTCCCCGCCTTCTGGTTATACGTCCCCAAAAAAGACTTTTAATTTTGTTACCCTTTACATACAACTTGGTTATAAAGGTAATTCTACCACCCAAAAAATGTTTGTGAACGATTTTTTAAAAATTCTTTTAACATTTTTATTTTTGAGAGAAAGAGAGCATGGGCGGAGGTGGGGCAGAGAGGGAGAGAGAGAATCCTAAACAGGCTCTGATGGATGGGGGAGGGACAGAGAGGGGCAGACACGGAATCCAAAGCAGACTCCAGGCTCTGAGCCGTCAGCACAGAGCGCAACATGGGGCTTGAACCCACGAACCCTGAGATCATGACCAGAGCCAAAGTTGGACACTCAACCCACTGAGCCACCCAGGAGCCCCTGTTTGTAAATGATTTTTAAAGCATTCTTAAAATTATTCTTCTGATCGTTCATGTCACTAGGATCCAGCATTAGTGCAGCTAATTGATAAATGTGTTACTGGACTTAACGGCCCTCCTGGGCTTGCCACAAGCTCAACGGATATGACAGAAAAGACAGAGTTCCTCTCACGTGAAGTATCACCAGGGATTCTGCTGTCTTGATTCTATTTGGCCCACGTGCCTATTTTTCTTGCCACAAAAGCATAAATAATGGTTTTATGTTGTACCATCAGGCTTCCTAGAATATTACAGTCAAGTTGAGAGGAAGGGGTCTGTGGTCATGGCTCAGGCACATGCCACTCTATACGAAACGTTTATGGGGCCGGTGCAAATAGTATTGATGTAATAGATACCTCTTGCTAAACTGCCTCTCTCTCCTTCCTCTGCAGAGGTGGTGCCCTCCTGACTTCCACCAGCGGCCCTGGTTTCCATCTCATGCTCCCTTTCATCACATCGTATAAGTCTGTGCAGGTATACTTGGCTTACGTGGTATGTTTGGACCTCTGCAGATTTGGGGTGTTCACAAATTCGTGATGCGAATTATTTACCATTAGGTCAGTATAATGCCTTTCCAAGGAATCTCATATATAAATACATACATATGTATACACGTGTATATGCACAGATGTACACACACATGTATACACATATGCGTGTGTTTATGTAGACCCATTTATTTATATACACATATGCGTATATGCATATATACAAATATATGTGTACGTGTGTGTGTGTGTGTGTGTGTGTATCTAATGGAGAATGAGGCTTCATGAACCGTGTACTCTAGAGCTTTATTTGGTTGTTGGAATAGCTGAAGGGGGTCATTGCCTTGGGCCTAGCAGCCGCAGCTGGGAATTATTTCTTCACTTCAAGGAAAAGCCAGAGAAGAATCTGTTCTGCATGTATAGAAGGAAAAGTAGGGTGCATGTGTCTGTGTGCTTTAAATCACCGGCTACCAAGATACATGGAAATAAAATGTGATTTTGCTGGTTCTTATTTGAACTTCATAGACGTGAACATAATTTGGTGGGGGATGGGGGACAGGAGAGGGAAGTTGGGCTCGGTGAAGGGAGATGACATCTGTCTAGGAGTAGGATTACTTATGACAGATCTAAAGCCTGGCTGAGTTAGTCTAGCCATCTTTGAAGTATGTCCAGCTAAGAGGGATAAGATTCAGGGAGTGACTTTAAAGCTGACCCAGGAAAACACCTCATCAGCATTCGCCCTGTACGTCTCCTCTGCTGCTTCCTCTGCTTGGCGGATTTTAGAGTGCATTTCTGCACACGATCTCATGAGCCTTACAGTGAGGCTGAGAATGGGCAGGGCCAAGTGAATAGAGAATCCGCTGTTTGAGGATGAGGAAAGGAAGAGACAGAGGTGAACACAGGTCTTAGGACTCCTAACGCAGGGTCTTTCTTACTAAACCATTACTACTCAGCTGGTCCAGATGGTGATTCACTTACAGCGACGCAGGGGTAGGCACCTTTGTTTGGGTGGGTCCAAACACCACTGCAAGGAAACATCTGGCCATATCCAGAATTAGGGCATCTCACGGGATCCGTGGCCTGACCTCCTCGCACAGAGGAGCTTTGGGTTGAAAAGGAGACTTAAAAGACATAACTGTGATGGTGAGCCTTGGTCGGAACCTGGTTCAAAAATACCAGGTGTCACACCCTGTAAATGAGGAGGGTTAGGTGGCACGTTCATGTTTAACAAGGGCGAAGCTCAGCCCAGGTGACCTCAAGGACCAGGCCACTTGGGATTCCAAAATGAAGTTACTTTGCCTGTCAGTGCCCATCTTATAGCATTTTACGTCTCCTCTATTTCTAGACCACACTGCAGACAGACGAGGTGAAGAACGTGCCTTGCGGAACTAGGTAAGGGCCCTGGAGTAAAGTGGTCAAACCTGCAGCAGCGGAAGGGCTTCTGGCTGACTGCAGGAAGGGACAGTGAAAAGGGAAGTGTCCCTTCTTGGTGGTTTTACCGAACTCCCTGCCTACTAGCTCCCTAGGTTCCAATCTGACTAGGCAGTGCGGTGCACTAGGGAGAATCAGGGGAGGCAGACAGGTTTGGGAGAGCCTGGAATGCCATGACTCGTTTGGCCTTTTTCTGTTACAAGTGAAGACCCACGAAAGGCCTTCAGCAGGCACACTGCCTGATGGAGGAAGATAGGTTTCGCATAACCAGCTATGGAGAATGTTGTAAAGGTAGGGGGAGACTGCAGGGTCCGGAAATCCAAACAGTACGCCGCTCTAGTGGCCCCTGTTGGAAAGTAAAGGAGATCTAAACTGGGACAGAGGAACAAACACCACCACAAGGAAACATTCAGGCAAATCCAGAATTAGAGCATCTCGGGATAATTGGCCTGATCTCTTCACAAGGAGGAGCTTTGGGTTAAAAAGGAGACTTAAAGACATACATGTGATGGTGAGCCTTGATTAGAACCTGGTTTGAAAATACCAACTGTAGAAGGCAGAGAGGGACTGGATTTGTCAGCAAGGCTGCCACAGTGCCACAGACTAGGTGGACACTCAGAGTCCAAGCCCGGGGCCCCCCGGGTTGTTTCCAGTGAAGCCTCTCTACCTTGCTTGCAGTTGGTGACTTTGCTGTGTCCTCACACGGCTTTTCCTCTGTACACCAGGGAGAAGGATCTCTGGCGTCTGTCTCTTTTCCTTTACTGCCCTCATGGGGGGGGGGGTGCCCCCGGGGGGCCTCACAACCTTAATCAGCATGTGAAAGGCCATCTCAGTCACCTGGGGGTTTTGGAAACGCCTACGGCTTTGTGGAGGGCACATGATTCAGTCCGCAACAGAAACAATTGGGGAAATTGGAATAAGGACAGGATATCAGAGGCTGTTAAGGAATTCTTGCTAATTTTCTTGGATTTGGGGACAGAGTTAGGACTACATAGGAAAGGGTCATTATTCATAGGTGAGTGTTGCTTCTTGAAGTGTGAAGGGGTAAAGAGGATCATGACTGCAACTTTGAGATGTTCAACATAAAAAGGTAGATCAATCAATAAGGTAAAATGTTAACAGTTGTTAAGTTTAGCGTTTGTGTATGGCCGTTAACTGTACTATTCTTTCAGCGTTCCTGTGTACCCAAAACCGCTTATAATGAATATTTACGGGAAAGGGAGTGCTTAACCAAAGCAAGGGTGAAGACAGTGAGAAATGGGGACCGTAAAATCCCACTGTGACCTTTAAGTTCTGAGAACGCCTTGACGTTTCCCTTCACTTGATTGCTTTAATCAAAAGGCATGGTGGATTCAAAAGATACAGACTACCCTTTTTTGCACTGGTAGCCCAGAAGTTTCACTGTTCTCCTTCTGGAGATATTTTTAGGAGGTGTGGTTTCTTGGGAGATTGTGTTCTTGCTGCAAGCTCGGAAGGTTCCTGCCTGGAGATCCCTGGTGTCTTCTGACCTCCCACCAGCTCTTCCCCCTTTCTGCTGAGTCACACATCTTAGGCCACCACCTAGAGCCTGCACTATGTTCCAGAGCCTGCTGGTGACGTCTTTGTTCCTTCTTCCTCCAACAGTGGTGGTGTGATGATCTACTTCGACAGAATTGAAGTGGTAAACTTCTTGGTCCCAAATGCAGGTACATTCACCCAGTTTCCCGTCACCACCCGCCCACTTGGCCCAGCATGTCCCCGGCACCCCCACAGGTCTGCCCAGCACCTCAGGCAGGGATAGCTGCCTTTTCTGACCTTGCGGTCCTGCTGTCCCTCCCAGTGTATGACATCGTGAAGAACTACACTGCCGACTATGACAAGGCCCTCATCTTCAACAAGATCCACCATGAGCTGAACCAGTTCTGCAGCGTGCATACGCTTCAGGAGGTCTACATTGAGCTCTTCGGTAAGGAGACCTCCTCTGGCCGTAGCTCCCGTAGGGCATGATGGGGACCCAGGGACAGGAAGTGTAAGCCCCGAGCTCAGGAACTGGTCTATGCTGAGGACAGCAGAAGAAGGTCACAAAGGCAGGTGAGCTTTGGGCGCAGGGAGAACAGTGGCCCGAATCAGGACTGGAATGGCAGTGTGTTCCTGCTGTCCCTAAAACACCCTTCAGTAATGAAGGCAGAGTCAGTTCTCGAAGAACCTGAGGGAGTATCCAACCCAGCACCTCATTTTCAGAGAAGGGTCCTGAGCAAGACGAAGTGACAGGGCCGAAGTTAGAACCCTTGCTTCGGTGAGCTTCCCACCACACCACACTGAATGCAGGGGAGCCAGGAAGGGTGAGGATGGCGGGGTTCACATTTAATTCTGGAAGTGGGACAAGGACAAGGACCATAGCTACTTAAAGTTCCTAGAGCTTTGTGCTCATGGGTCCTTTTAACCGTGTACCTATAGAGATGGATAGGAAAACACTTCTAAGAATCCGTATGCTTAAGAGGACCCATTTTTTTTCCTTTAATTTTTTAACATTTATTTATTTTTGGGAGACAGAGCACAAGCAGGGGAGAGGCAGAGAGAGAGGGAGACACAGAATCTGAAGCAGGCTCCAGGCTCTGAGCCATCAGCACAGAGCCCAACACAGGGGTTGAACTCACAAATTGTGAGATCATGACCGGAGCCGGAGTCAGACACCCCGTAAATCTAAATTCTAGAATCTAAATTCTAGAATCTAAAATCTAGATTTTAGATTCTAATTTGGATTCAGTGTGCTTTTAAGAAAAATTCAGTAAATTTGTTTTGTTTTGTTTTTTTTACCTCAAACTGATTAGCATTTTATAAAATATCATTACTTTTCTCTACAGCCATTGTCTTAAAACTTGTGCCATTAAATGAATATTTGAAAGCGTCTGAAACAGCAAAAGACAAAGGATTCTAATTTCCATGAAGAGAAAATGTGAAATCGGTTTGCATTAGAAAACTTCTTACTGTCAGGGCACCCAGCTGGCTCAGTCAGTGGAGCACATGACTCTGATCTCAGGGTCATGGGTTCGAGTCCCACGTTGGGTATAGAGATTACTTAAAAATAATATCTTCAAAATAAAGTAAAAAGAGAGAAAACTTCTTACTGTCATAAAAATAAACTTAATAGCTTAAGGAAGCATCTTTTACAGAGAAACTCAGAAAATATATTTGCTTTGAAATGTTTTTCTTTTTAATTTTTTTTAATGTTTTATTTATTTCTGAGAAAGAGAGAGAGACAGCGTGAGCAGGGGAGGGTCAGAGAGAGAGGGAGACACAGAATCCGAAGCAGGTTCCAGGCTCTGAGCTGTCAGCACAGATCCCGACGTGGGGCTTCAACCCACAAGCCATGAAATCATGACCTAAGCTGAAGTCGGATGCTTAACCGACTGAGCCATCCAGGCGCCCCAGTGCTTTTCTTTTCAAAGTTAAGTGTTGGGGCACCTGGGTGCTTCAGTCGCTTGAGTATCTGACTTTTGATTTCGGCTCAGCTCATGATCTAGGATTGTAGTATCGAATCCCATGTCAGGCCCTGCACTGAGCATGGAGCCTGCTTAAGATTCTCTCTGTCTCTGTATGCCACTCTACCCGGTTCATGCTCTCTCTTTTTCAAAAAATTAATTGATTAATTAAAAAAATAAAGTTTTGGGAGGTCACTGTCTTGCTTAGAACCTATTTGCATCTGTAAAAGAGAAATCTGTGCCTCTTATCCCATTCCTGACATGGGGAGGGTTTCCCCCTGGTTCTGTCCCCACGGGACTCACGGCTCTGACTCAGCATCACTGCCTCTTTCCCATCACCGCCTACACTGCCACTCCCTCTCTGCCCACTTTATAAACACATTACCTGGTACTTGCTCAGAAGTTGACCTGACTCAACCTCTCCGTCTAATATAACCTCATCAGCATTCATCTGCAGAACTGTAGTGTGTAAACAACTTATTACTAGTGTTGCGCTGATAATAAACCACCTTACAAAATATTTCTTCCAGATTTTCCTAGAAAGTCACTCGCCCAGGGCCACAAGTGCCCACTAATAAATGACAATGTTATTAGTAACATAGGGAGGGCGCAGAACAGCTCAAAGTTTGGTTGATCTCCTATCTAAAGTAGAAAATATGAAATGTGATGTTTGTCTCCAGCTGTCAAATTGTTAAACATGTATCAGGTCTGAGGGGCTGCCTTTGGGGCACTTGTCCCTCGTGCTGAGGCTCGTGCGAGCACATCCAGTGCACAGAAATGTTAAAATCCCTTGCTGGCCCATGTGACAGTTGAAGGAAGTGCTGTTTTAAACCCTGCAAATTAAAGCTTAGCAGTCAATCAGGATTATTATTTTGAGCTGTTTATTAAATTAATAAGTAGATTTATGGTGCTAGCTTAAGCACAGCTCTGAGCCTCCATGGGCCTCCATTTGGGCATCTATTAAAACCAGGGGTTCTGCTTGCTGTTCCTCAGAGGCTCCTGTTTGTGCACAGGTGACCAAGAATGGCTACTTAAAGCAGGTGGCAGCTGACAGGGAGGTAATTCAGTTCCAGTGCCCCAGCCAGATTTCAAGGTTTCATGGAGTCTTCTCGATGCCTTGCAGGATCTTATTGAGAACTTCGGGGGGGTTGGGGGGAGCCCCAGGCCTGCAGGATCACGGCCAGGAGGGGTAACCAGTTAGAGCTCTTCCTACACTTGCCTGTGAAATGCCTCCCCTGTGAATTCCGACAGTGCAATCAGGGCCAAAGCAAACGACACATCAGAGGACTTGGGCTCATTTCCAGAACCAAACATTTTCATTTTCCCCTTGTGTTATTTGTTGGGAGTTCTTAATGGAAATAGTCTTCCCTGGGGCTTTCCTTGATGTCAGAGTCTGTTTTTCTTGTAGAAACTTCTAAAATTATGAGATTTAATGTGCTTGGCTCTCTTCGAAATACCTAACATAGCCACCCCACCTTCCTTCCTCTTGAAAATGGGGTGCTTGCCTTCTCTTTTGCTGTCTGGGGGAGGGCTACTGTATGACTCAAGAAATGTGTTAGAATTGTTGTTTGTTGTTTTTCTTTTGAAAACTCCCATTTCCTTTTAGGCAAGGTTGATACTTTCAACAGCCTCGGTGATTTTACCTGGAGGCCACAGGAAAGGATACTCTTCCCTCTAGCTTATGTAGAGGGTCTGCACAGGCATGTCGCTTGAGGGGTGGGCGGTTTGAGGGGAGCGCCTGGTGGGCTCAGTCAGATAAGCGACTGACTTCAGCTCAGGTCATGATCTCACAGTTCGTGAGTTCAAGCTCCGCATTGGGCTCTGTGCTGACAGCTGAGAGCCTGGAGCCTGCTTCGGATTCTGTCTCCCTCTCTCTCTGCCCCTCATCCGCTCACACTCTGTCTCTCTTTCAAACATAAATAAACATTAAAAATTAAAAAAAAAAAAAAAAAAGACGTGCAGAGGATCTTTAAATTTCTGGGCTCTGCCTTGGAAAGACCTTTGGCCTATCAGGTGCATTCTTGAGCAGTTGTTTTAGTTTGTATGCCACCCCCACACTTCCCTCCACTCTCCCTAAAAAAAGGTAACAACATTTTCTGCCTTTCTTGATCCCAGATCAGATTGATGAGAATCTCAAGCTGGCTTTGCAGCAGGACCTGACCTCCATGGCCCCCGGGCTCGTCATCCAAGTAAGCATGGCCACAGCGGGAGCACCCCCTGGTAAAGGTGCACGCCCGCAGGGCGGGTGCATGCAGGTCAAGGGCTGGTGGGGGATGCTCGGTCCCTCAGCCACCCTCACCTTCCCAATAAGGTGCTATTCTTGTCCTTCTCCAGGCTGTGCGGGTGACAAAGCCCAACATACCCGAGGCGATCCGCAGAAACTACGAGTTGATGTGAGTATTCCCTCTGGGCAGCCTAGACCCCCGCTCTCTCCCACACCCCCCACCTCATCCTATCCCAGAGTTAACTGAAGCCGTGGTGCGCGTTTCTTCCCCTGTTGAGTGTGCGGTACAGCCCGCTGCACTGTAAGAGGAGCGGGTCTGTCACGACAGTCACCGGGCCCAGTAACTGGGATTGGGAGCTGCAGCAGAGGCCCTTTCGGGCAGTGCAATGGGCCAGGGGGGCATGATTTGTGCATCGTGGCTCATGCCCATGAAGACAGGAGGGAGAGACGGTTACGTGGGCAGGAGGGTACGTTTTACCTGAGCAAATCACGCTCTGTGTCTCACCAATGAGCTCTTCTGGAGGAGAAAAAGAGCCGCGTCACCGCCTGAGACAGATCACCTTTTACCTGGGACAGTGAGCAGCCTTCCAGGAGAGTGAGAGACCCAAGCTCGCCTCTCCTCGGCACAGTTTGGCTTCTCCAGGCCTTTCCTCGGAAGCCATCGCAGCCTCACGGCTGCCTGTGTTTCTCCCTTCAGGGAAAGCGAGAAGACAAAGCTGCTCATCGCAGCCCAGAAGCAGAAGGTGGTGGAGAAGGAAGCTGAGACAGAGCGGAAGAAGGCCCTTATCGGTCTGAGTGTGGTTCGGGAATCCCCTTTCAGGGCAGAAGGGCCGGGGATGGTGGGGGGATGGCGAGGAGGCCCCAGGCGCGGTTAGATCACACAGTCTTCCAGACCCCGGCCACACGCGGGGGCGGCGTTCGTAGTCCAGGAAACCAGGGTGAAACTGGCAGATCACAGCCGGAGCTAATGCGTTTTGAGTCTCTCCATGTCTCTGAAATGAAAGAACCCTTCCTGGTAATTCGTAATCGATAGTAGTAGTAGCTAGTACCCATCCAGCACCTACCACCAGCCAGGCACTTTTCTAAGCGCTTACAGTGACTGGTCTCGCTCCTCACAAGCACGCAGTGAGGCAGGTACCATCGTGAACCTCACTTTACTGAGCTGGAGATCCAAGGGGCTAACCAAAATGGCAAGTAAGTGTGGAAGTAGGGTTTGCCCCCAGAGACCCTGGTCAGAATCCGGCTCCTAACCTCTGCACTAGATGGTCAACGAATGCTGACTGCTTCCCACGGTGAAGTGGCAGGAGGGAACTATTTACCGTATTCCTTAAAATGCCCTTTGAGGAGAAACACCCTTGTGATGTAGGAGAGATTGGGATTCGTTCCTCCCTTTCATGGGAGGGCCCGGGTCTCCCTGCCGACTGTCTGGTGCCCATGCCATGGTGCCACGCTCAGGGGTGCAGTCCACGTGTTCCCACCGCGGTCGCCCTCTGGGGCCCTCCCTCTGAGTGCACCCGCATCCCTGTCTCAGGGACTCCGATCCCAGGAAGGGTGAGATTTAGTCCAGCTTGTGAAACATCCATAGTGCTCTAAGCCTTTTCTCAACATCATTACCACAGAGGCAGAAAAAGTGGCTCAGGTGGCAGAAATCACCTATGGGCAGAAGGTGATGGAGAAGGAGACCGAGAAAAAGATTTCAGAAATCGAAGGTGAGCCAAGCTGAAATGAGTGCCTAGGTTTTCCTCATGCCCCGCTGTGTTGCGGGGTGGGGGCAGGGGGCAGGGGCGGGAGAGCCCTCTCCTTGGCTCTTTAACCTTTGTTCTAAGATGTCCTGATTTCCTTGGAAAGTCCCTTTTTGTTTGCTCTTTGAGTCGAGTTTGGGGGAGATTTGGGCCGGGCTGGCATACGTTTTCCACTTCAAAGAGCATTCGTTTGTTCAATAAATGTCCATGGAGTGCCGTTAGGCGCTCTCGGGTGAGGCATAAGGAAAAGAAAAATTGCATAAATCCCTGCTGTCTGGCAAGGGTCTCAGAGCCGTGGAAGTGAACTCAGAGGCTAGGCCAGTTAAACATCCGACTCCCGCTCAGGTCATGATCTCATAGTTCTTGGGTTCAAGCCCCATGTCAAGCTCTGTGGTGACAGCTCAGAGCCTGGAGCCTGCTTCAGATTCTGTGTCTCCCTCTCTCTCTGCCCCTCCCCCGCTTGCTCTGTCTTTGTCTCTCAAAATAAAGACATAAAAAAAATTTTTTTAATAAAAATTAAAAAAAGAAAGCAAATTCTAGGATGGAAATAGGACCTCGAGGCCCAGCATCTAAGTGCCATGTCCACTCATACTCACCGTAGGGCCCCTCAGGCTTTGCGGGGGCCCAGTGAGGAGCCAGCTACAGTTTTACAGGCCAGCCGCTCCTCTTTGGAGAGCTCTTGGCAAAACGACGCATTTTTATTTCTTATGAAAACATGTCATCAGGTGCTAAGGCCACTTGAGTGGGCCCCACGCGGCCAGCACCCCTGCCCAACAGAACACTCCTCCCACCCGGGGTCTTGCTGGGGGTGTGGGGTAAGAACCCGCCACAGGCTCCCCTTTCTTCCCAGGCTTTTTGCTACAAATATTACACATGGCTGGCCTCATTCCCAAGGCAAGGGAGCAGGCATCAAAAATTTTGCATCAGCTTGACAGAAAGCTGGTCTCGGCAGATGAAGGAAGTGTTTGGCTCACGTAGTGGAGGTTTGACTGAGTCTTCATCCAAACAGGTGTTAGTCTGGACCATGGCACGGAATTCTCTTATTTAGAGTTGTGCCAGTTTAACCACTGTTAACTAGAACCTTCTCGAAGTGATCGATGGAAATAGAAGTGAAGTTGGAGAGGGACTGAGCTGTTTCATGTTGGTGGCATCCAGTTTTGGGGGAGCCACGTCTGGCTGTGTTCAGAGCCTCCTGTGGGCTCTGCCATAAGCCTGTGGACACAGGAAATGTCTCTGGGCAGTGCTTTCCCCGCGACTGCCTTCTCGGATGGCGGATGACACTGGGCAGAGCACCAGACATGCTCAGCCTTAGTCCCCACTTTTGGGAGATGGATGCCTTCAAGGCACTTTTCACCTGTGGTCGGTTTTCACAACTCGTGAAGTAGGAAAAAATGCCTCTCTCCCATTTCACTGAAGATGAAACCAAAGCACAGGGAGAAAAGAGCAATCTCTCAAGCTCACAGAGGCGATGGGTAGGGAGGACGAGGGGCGGGGGGGTGGGGTAGGACATCTCAGGGCTTGGTGTTCCGGTAGCAGCAGCTACACTGCATTTCACTGCATTCTTGCCCTCAGATGCTGCGTTTCTGGCACGGGAGAAGGCAAAGGCTGATGCCGAGTGCTACACCGCTATGAAAATCGCCGAGGCAAACAAGGTAAAGCCCAGTGCACCTGATGATGGGAAGGTGTGTTTGGCTTTGGGCTGATGTGGTTTGCAAGCTCCTGGCGTTGGATGGCCAGATGTGCTGGCAGCCGTGCCACATGCGCCTGGTGCTCCCCTTTTCTTTAGCCACTCCTCAACAGGACTTGCATTGTTGTGTTCGACACAGAAATTCCTCAAACTCTTGCAGCTCTGAGCTTGCAAATGCATGAGTACCCGTTACTAACAGAACAGTGAGGCCAGGAAAGAGTAGAGAAGGCGCCTTTCTTTGACAGAGACCCTCTCCTTGTGAAAAGCGAAGCGTGCCACCCCGAGTTTTCTTGAATCTGGCTGCACATAGCCTCCTTTCCTTCTTTGTGCTTACAGCTGAAGCTGACCCCGGAGTATCTGCAGCTGATGAAGTACAAAGCCATTGCTTCCAACAGCAAGATTTACTTTGGCAAGGACATCCCGAACATGTTTGTGGACGCCGCGAGCAGTCTGGGCAAGCAGTTTGAGGGGTTCGTGGACAAGCTGAGTTTCGATGATGACCCCCTGGAAGTAGACCCTGAGGAGAACTGAAATCTTTGTGTACAACCTCAAATGACACTTAAAAGAGATCTTTATTTTTTAATGATGAACCAGGATGCTCCTCCCTCCCACATGACCTGCTTTGACTCTCTTCCATGTTTGGTGGTGGAAAAAGAAGAAATGCATTTAAATCGATTTCCCTTCCTGGGAATGGAGGGCTAGGGGTGATGATTTGGGGTTTTATTCAGGTAAGTGGGTCAGATGACTTGGGTTAAGATTGGGAAACCATGGTTTTGACCTTTGACCTCGAGACACTAATTTTAGCCCTTTGAAGCTGATTTAAGTAGGGACTGGGTCCTTACAGAGTGAGAGAAACGAGAAATGTAGGGTGTTGCCTCCGGGTGATTAGGTTCCCTGACTTGGGAAAACACGGACCTGTCTTCTCACCCCGGCCTCCAAGGTGGGAGATGCCTGTGGGTGAGGCTCGGCACCGGAGCAAACGTGTGCTTCTGAGTCTGCCCGCCAAGCTGCGAGGGGACGGCTGCAGGGGATGCTGGGCTTCACGGGTGTCTCTGTCGGGGTGTCTGGGAGTTATTAGAGGTGCACTTTCTTGAACGTTCTTAGGGAAGAACCGTGCTAGAATCTGCGGGCTCTTCTCTCCAACACCCCCCTTGCCCCAGGGTCTAACGGACTGGTGGTTTCCGACTACATTCCACACACTTTTTTTAAAACTTTCCGCCTGTGCTGTGATTCGGTTTTTTCCTCTCAAATCTGTTGACTGGTTCCACTCGGCATCAAGAAGACAGGAACAAACAACCCAAGTGTCTTAATAGCTGCCGAAGTAGGGTCGTTGCCTCTCTCGGCCACCGTGGTACATGCTTGGCCAACCACGAGTGTTCCTTGGGATCCGGTGTCTTCTGCTGTGGGGATCCTGCATTGAAGAGCTCCTGTGGGGGAGGAGGAGGGCCCCCCTGGAAGATCTCCCCATCGTGATGCCTCTAGCTTGCACTGGCAGTAGTCTGACGTAGCGATAAAAAGGGAGCCTGTTCTCTGAGTAGCAGCGTTTTTAAATCGAGGGCACCAACGGCCGCACAGGTCAGACTGAGTGCTAAGTCTCCAGGGACAGCGATGGACGTGCATGTCCGAGGTCCTGCCCCAGCCCCTGGGTTGGAAGGGCTGCATCAAAATCTGTTCAGATGTTTGGTTTTGGCTTTAGTTTAGTTTCGTTTTTTCCATTTCTAATTAGGAAAACTTTGAGTCACTCTGGGAGATTTGTGATGGAGGAGAACAAACGTGAAAGAAAGGTTTTCTTCTATCCTGAAATTGGGGGGTGGGGTGTCCAGCTTATGTAGCCCACAAGTCGTGCACCGGCTTGCTAGGTTATCTCGAGTTAACTTGCAGACACGTTGTTACTCTGCGTGACAAGCTCTGGCTTAGGACCCGCCCTTGTTATTAGCTGACCTCCCTACCCCCACAAAGGAACTACCACCCTCCCGCCTTGGTAATACTATGAATGCTACTTACTGGCACTGATCCCCACCTCCTGTTTGGTCCCATGCCCAGACTTCTGGCTTATTGAATGGTCCCAAAATTCGGGCCGGCTCGCTCCACAAGTAGCACCAGGCTTGTCTAGAGTCTGGGGAGCAGTCCGCCTGCTTAGGTAGAAACAAAATGTTAACTCCTCTGAAATGCTGCCCTTCTCTGTTTTCACCGCTGGGACTTCTCAAAGCATTCGTCCCGGTTACCCTTTGTGCAGGCGGCCACATGTCCGTGGGAATGACGGACTTTAATGTGCGCACAGGTGCTTGCAGAAGACAGGCGGTCCCCCAAGACCAACAGGGCATCTGTCGTTAAGACATACTCCCCTCCATTTCGGTGCCACTGACCACTTGCTGGGAGCCACAGGACACGTGACATCCAGCACCTCCAATTTACCTATTTGTCAGCTCCCCGTACCTGAGGCTTGCTGCCCGGCCTCAGAAAACACTACTTCAACCGAGTACAAGGCAAGGCTATCTCAGCCTCTGAAGAGCACGTTGCTCATGTCCTTAACTTGAAAGTCTCTCTAATGCCAACACCCTGTGATAGTTGGTCCCTCGCACTGGATACACTTTAACCACAACAGAGTCTCAGTAAAGTCCTGCTGCACCTGCCCCGCTCACTGCTATAGTGGCTTCAGCTTTAAACACAAAGTATAGATGTTGCAGTTTGGTTTAAAGTCAACTTTTCTGTAACCTGCCTGAACCATGAAATCATGGAGGTCAGCGGTTTCCTCAGCTTGGGCGTTACCAGTCTGCCTGTGCAACTTTGTTTCTTTAACACTCACCCGAAAATCTGACCTTAAAACATTTGAATTCTAAACATGTAAAATGTGACAGTCTACAGTTTTGTAGGCAGTAAAGTCATGGCTGCTATTTATAAATGGAACTTCTATCAAAACAAGTAACTGTTTATAAAATTCAGTTTTTGTAGGATTTTCCAAGGAAAAGTCACCTTGGCTGAATGTTTCTCACTAAACTTTACAGAAGTGGTTCATATTCGGTACTGTTTTTAATCGCTTTTTTAATATAAGGACAGAATATTTGCAAGGAAGCCAAAGTTTGTTACTTTTTATAAGAGTAAAATAAAAAAATCTGAAAGTAACGGTGGTCATACTCAGCTGAAGGAGGGAAAAATTTGACAGAATTTTAGCAATATATCGACCCCAAAAAAGTTGTTTTTTAAGTGATCTATTGTAATTTCTATGGGTCTGTGTATCTTTCAGCACTGAGAACTTTGCCATTTACAGAGAGTAAGTAGTGAAAGTAAGATCATCGTATTTACTGACTTACCTGATAAGTTTGATTGAAGATAAGCCTCAATCCTCAGTTGAAAATAAACCTGTATCTTGGCTAGTGGCTGCTCTGTGTCCATGAAGTTAACCTCTGCTTTAGTGCTCAGTAAGATTCTAGCCATGGTTTCTATTGCTTCCTTAGAAAAGAGTTAATAGCCAATCAGTTTGTGTTTGTATTTCCATTTCTTTTTATTCCCATTTCTGTGTAAGCTGGTAATTGAATAGTCAAACGAATTCTACTTTGAAAGAGCCCCAATGGTTTAATGACCCCCCTTTGTAAATGAGAAATGATTCTTGTTATATTAATGACTCTACGAATAATATGTTGGATTAATTGCCTTAGGTTGATAGCTGGAGGAATTGTTTTAGACAACACTAAAGGTGTGAATTTATATCTGAGTTTTATTTTCAGTCTTGCTAAATAAAATGAGTCTTTGTATTTACATTTTTAAAAATTTTTTTAACGTTTAATCATTTTTGAGAGAGCGTGCAAACAGAGGAGGGGCAGAGAGGGAGACACAGAATCCCAAGTAGGCTCCAGGCTCTGAGCTGTCAGCACAGAGCCTGACATGGGGCTCAAACCCACAAACTGTGGGATCATAACCTGAACTGAATTCGGATGCTTAACCAACTGAGCCACCCAGGTGCCCCTGTATTTGCTTTTTTATCAAAGTGAAATTCAGCAATAGCTATGTTAGAATAGGTGACATAAAGCAATAAAACATCCCTCCCTAGTGGGACACCCCTGCGTGGCTCAGTTGGTTGAGCATCCGGGAATTCTTGATTGTGGCTCAGGTCATGATCCCAGAGTCATGGGATCAAGCCCCTTCTAGGTCTGTGCTGAGCATGGAGCCTGCTTAGTATTCTCTCTCTGCCCCCCTCCCTCTGCCTCTGCCCCTCTTCCTCACTTGTGCATGTGCTTACTCACTCTCAAAAAATAAACATTAAAAAACTATATATATATAGTTTTATATGTATATATACACAGGTGAATATCTCCATTATCATTGCAGAAACAGTAAACAACTAATCTGTAAACTTGGCATGATTCTGGATGGGTGCTGTAGAGGTTTGCTGATTTTAAAGAATCCATACACTGCTACACTTCTCCAAAGGGCAGAGATACCTTCAGTTGACCCAAAACTCATTCTGATACCAACTTAATGAGAAAGTCGCAGTCTCTTCTCTGGAAAGCCGCCCAGCCTAAGACTGCCAAACAAAATACAGGATGCTCAGTTCAATTTGAATTTCATGTGAACGACCAATAATATGCAGTGTAAGTATGTCTCAAACACTGAGTGAGACATACTATTTATATGAAATGCATGCTGAACTGGATATCCTGTATTTTTATTTGCCAAATTTGTCAACCTTAGGCTAGGCTTTCTTAGGTTTTTTAATGGTGCTCTCAAACTTTTTCTCTTGGTTTCAGAGCCACTACACAAATATGAACTTACAATTGAATGGGTAAGTTAAGAATGTAGTTATTGGGGTTACACGGCCATGATTCAGATCCCTGCTCTACCCCTTCTTAAGTGTATGATCTTAAGTTCTTTAACCTTTTCTGAGCCTCAGTTTCTTCATCTATAAAATGGGTTGAGTGGAGTAAATGAAACAATGCATGTGAAGGAAAAGGTTAGCACTGTGCCTAGCCTGTGTGAGTGCTCAAAAATAACATTTTCAGTATCTGGAAAAACAGACTCAGAAGCACACAACTATAAAGTGGGTACCACTACGTGGAAAAATCAACAAGATGTGATAACAGAAGATTACAGATTGCTCAGCACAGAGAGGGAAAGGAGAACAATATTGAAATGCAGCAAACAGTTAAGATTACAACTTCTACAGAAGTGGCATATATAGAAAATAAGCAGGTTTGGTCCTGTTGAGAACTCCTGGTTCTGAGCTCCAATTTATAAAGAGGAGGGGCACCTGGGTGGCTCAGTCAGTTAAGCAGCCGAAGACAGTTAAGCAGCCGACTTCAGCTCAGGTCATAATCTCACTGTTTGTGGGTTCGAGCCCCATATCCAGCTCTGTGCTGTCAGCTCAGAGCCTGGAGCCTGCTTCAGATTCCGTATCTCTCTCTCTCTCTGCCCCTCCCCTGCTCATGCTCTGTCTCTTTCTCAAAAATAAAACATTAAAATTTTTTTAATAAAAAGTTGAGGAGGCTAGCAAAACATAATGTCAAAACCAAAATTTAAAAAGTATGGCAATAAAGCCCACAGGTTGCCTCCATTAAAGGCAGAAGGGGAATTTAGCGACTTCACATTGACAAAAGTTGTACGATGGTTGGCGAGGCATTCTCTAGCTCCTCAGAGACCACAGAAGAGGAAATTAGCTTCCAGAATAGAGTATTTTAAAAGATTTTACTTGAGATAAGCCTGGCTAAAACTTGAAATCCTGAGAAGTAGTTGTGTGCAAATAGAAAATAACTCCAGGGATTAGCGTGAATAACATTTTCCTTGACAGGCTTCAAAAATTGGGGAGACTCTATGCTGTTCGGGATGGCTTAAATGTCATCCTTTCTGTATGAAAGATCAAATGATCTCTAAAGGTCCTCCCCAGGTCTATGGTTCTAGAATCCATATTCACATTTCAAAAGCCAAATGTGACAGTATGTTTGCTGAGGAATGGTTGTCATGGTTTCTCGACTTCAGTTCATTTAAACCAGGACATGGGCATTATTTCTCCCATTTCTCTTTAGAGCCAAGTAACCAGGCAACGTTAATGTTCTATTATTTTATCTCTTTTTATCCCCGAAAGAATCACAGTATGTGCACAAGGAAACAGTTTTAAAATCCACGAATGTATTTCTTATAATTCAGGGCCTCCAACTATAGAGGCGAATGTTTTAAACTAACTTGCCGGTCTTTAGGGTGAATAAGTACACTTGATTTTTAATAATCCGTACCTCTGGGTATTTGGCTTTTTAATCTTTCTCTTCTTCCCCTTTGTCCCTGCAAACTGTTGGAGCAATTTAAAGACGGTTACTGGTGATGACGTGTTTGTGGACTTCCATTTTTCAAGGATTAGGTGGCAGGGAAGAATGAAAGGTCAAATTACATCCGATGTCCCAGAGAGAGGAAAAGAAACTAAAAAAGAAAATGAGGAGAAAACAGTGGAATCAAATTCATTCAAAGGCATAGCTAAGAAGTAAAGAAATTGGAAAATGTGAAATGATGAGACCGGGGTCGCCTTGATCTTTTTGTCTTTACTTCCATTTATTTCTATAGGGTTATAGAATGTTAGAGGTGAAAAGCATCTTAGAAATGAATCCACAGTAAAGCCTGTCTTACTCATCCTGGTCTCCCCAAAGGTACCTTTCCAGAGAAATGCCTCAATTACTGTTGGCTGAATAGATAAGAAGGGTGGAGGAAACTCACATGTATTGAACATTTTTGCATTTGCTTCGGCAGAGCACTCAGTAATAAGTGTGTTACATGTTATCTTGATGCATCCCCCCTGCAACTCTGAAGGAGATTGTGACTCCATTTTATATAAAGAAAAACCAAGAATTTCAGGAACTTATCCAAGATTCCAGTTCAACAATAAAACCAAAATTCAATATGTGTCAGTCCTGTGCCACCACTACCCAATCTCGGCAGCACTATCTTATTAACTTGAAGGTTCAAATCACTCTTCTGATGCCCTTTTGAGAGCCATGCACAACAATGGAGGCAGGGGGGTGGGGGAGGTTGACCTTAGAAATCAAAGATGACACCTGACCTATGAAGTTACTCCTGCTTGTTATCGTAATAACCTATCACCTGGATTACACATCCTTTAGCTCTGATGAGGTATTTATGGTTTTTTAAATGTTTTCCAAATAACATATCACTTTATGTCACGTTCACCCATTGCTTCCTCTTATACATCTCTTCAGTATGACTCCCATCACTGTAATCTCTTTATTTCACCATTTTCTGCTGCCTAGCCCCAGACCTTTCAGCTGCATGAAAAACTATTCTAGTCATTTTTTTTTAATTTTTATCATTTTTGTCTGGAGTAGAAATTATCAAGTCCAGAGCCATTTTGACAACCCTGATTTATAGACAACCCAGTTACCTGTATCTGGTAAATAGAAACTTACCAAAAAGTAGTTCTTAATGGCAAGCACCCTCAGTTCTGCTCAAAGTGATTTTCCCAGAATACAACATAGGACACTTAATCTCAGTTCAGTTCCTGGGGCCGCGGAAGATGGTAACAGAAGAAAGGCTATTGCCCTCTATTTCCTGAGGATTCGAAATCAGCCCAGTCACCCCAAGACAACCCGGGGAACACACTTTGGCCCTTTCTCCACCATAATAGCATCCCACTTCATTCAGTTTGAGAATGCGTTCCAGAACCTTTAAACAGTACAGCCAAAAAACACTTTCCCTAACAGGATTCTTTCTACCTCCGCACAGCACCTACTATTTCACCATCTGACTATTAAACTTGGTAATTTACTGTTCGTCTTTATATTGTTTGGCTCCTCGTCATGTTTATGACCTTCACACTGCCCAGGGCTGGGCACATAGGACACTCAAGATTGGACTGAATCTCGTGCTCGGCCATCTAAGGCTGCAGGTGCTCTCTGATCAGGAAGCACGGCCGCAGGTGTGTCTTGAAACAACGGACAGCCCGAACCGGGGCATGCTGTAAGTCAAAACGCTACACCTGGTAAGTACAGTAAAAAAAGGTCCCAGGAAGCTTTCCTATTGGTTACATATTGAAACCTTATTTTGAAGGTACTGGGTTCTAACATTATGTATCTAATGTATTCATTAAAATGTGTTTTCTGCGCCTATTGTTAAGTCTTTAAAGACCTGTGTGGATCGCATCATAGTTCTATTGGACGGCACTGGTCACAGGATGACAAGAAGAAATAACCATACATTTGAATCATGCCGTTTTCTTCAGAAACCGTTTTTCTTTTATATCTCTTAACAGTTCCTCACAAGCCTCATCTGAGACCCTAGCAGCCCTGACTCCCGCTCTAGCAGCTTCGAATCCTGGTCCCCCCCCCCCCCCCCCCGCACAGAAGTCTTAGTCCATAGCGCTCTGAACGCCAGGGACAGGCAAATCTGTGGGGCTTTCGGAAAGGGACTATGACCCCGGAACAGGCCGCATTTTTTGCGTCAGGAAGCTCCCACAGGAGCGGGGACGGGGACTGCGGCTCCAGCAGCGGGACGGGGAAAGCTCGCCAGGGGGCACCGGAACTGCGTCAGGCCGGCCTCCGCACACCCGCCCCCGCTTCCAGAGGAGGGGGCCTGGCTGTCCCCAGTAATCCCGGGCCGACCTCCGGAAGATGGCCGCCGCTGCGGGGCGGGGCCTCCCGCCACACCGCCCCCGTCCCGCCCCCGCGCTGCCCGGTGTCGATTGGGTGAGGCGACTCGGTGGTGAGCGGCGATTGGGTCACGCCAGACGTGATCTGGGCGGGACCGGAAGGTGGTCTCTGCCTAGGGGACCCCCGGGTCTGGGGCTCTGCGTTCGTCCCAGGGGATGTGGAGAGCCGGCAGCATGTCGGCGGAGCTGGGAGTCGGGTTCGCACTGCGGGCAGTGAACGAGCGCGTGCAGCAGGCTGTGGCGCGGCGGCCGCGGGTGAGGAAGGGGACGGCGTGGGGACTGGGCGGCTGCATTGATGAGGGGGACCCCTGCGTGAGAATGGGTCGTCACGGTGACGCAGAGGGGTCTCCCGGAGGGGCGGGAGCCGTCCTTCCGCCTTGGCATTGGCGCGGGTTGCTGAGCCCCCCCAAACGCTGTTAACGGAAGGTTTCCTCAGCTACCTCGCTACGAGTCCGTCGGGTTTTCTGGAGGTTGGAACAGCAGGTATCCACCACCCGGGAAGATGACCAGTCCCCCGGCGGCTCGACCATTGCCCGTCGCGCCTCGTGTAGTGATCAGCGGCCTTAGCGGAGAGGAGCGGCGCCAGTCCCGTGCCCAGAGGCTGCAGGAGGAGACGTCTACTACAGGAGTGCCCAGCGGAGGCCAGATCTCCCGAGATCACGTGTGTGGCAGCGTCTGACAGCTCCGCCGGTCGGTGAAAGAGAAGGTGGATTGGCCGCATTCTGGAGACACCAGAGCTGCACTGGCACGTTCGGGCTTGAGGGGAGCTGACACCCTGTCCCAAGCAGTTTAAAGGGAGATTCCTTCCCTCCCCCCCCCCCCGCCACCCCTCCTTATAATATATTTTGTCTCCTCTTGGAATTTCATTAGATCGAGGATCAGTAGCTCCTGCCCTCACTGCAAGTTTAAGCCGAATGGTGCTCAGTGAGACCCAACTGAACAGAGAGGTCAGCGTTTCTCTGATCAAGCATTTGTGGTGTCAGAACTCCGAATGCTCTTCTGGAGACCGAAGACCTATGTTAGCATAGCCTTTCCTTAGCTTCTAATGAGATGTTACCTTGAACTAAGTCACCAAACTACTCTGGCCCTGAGTTTCCTCAACTGCATAGGCAACGGAATGAGCTCTGACTGCTTTTCAAGCTCCCGCCTGGCATTCATGTTCTATGATTCTCAGCGATGCTGCTCCAAGGAAAGCCAGGGATCTCCCCAGTAAGCCTCACTCTGGGAAGTTCTCCCAGCATCACTCCACAGGCGGATGGGCGCCTGCCCCACCTTTCTCTCTGGAAATCATCAATTCATCAACGTAATCCTGGGAGTTATGGCGTGGTCTCATAAAAGGCTGGTGATGCCTCGTCCCTCAGAAGGAAGCTGAAACTTTCTGCTAATGGATCTGAATCTTTAGAGCCTTGGAAGATACAGTGGTTCTGTAAAAATTACAGAGGGTGATCGGATGTGTGAAACTGAGCTGTATGAGGATAGGTGAATCTCCTGTTGCCTCTGAATAGATTTGGTTGTGGCAGAATTCAGGGAAACCCTCCCTCCTCTTTACGTGATGGTGCTGGCTGTAAGAGGGGTCATAGGGGCCTAATCCTGAGTCCAGAGTTTGTGGTGTCCCTGCCTCAGTTCTGCTTCTGGTTCTTAATTAGATTGAACAATAAATTACGTAGCTACTCTACGCAGGCCACTTTTGAGGGGGCGGGGGGCAATATTACTGAATATCCCAGGACCAGAATGAGTTTCCAAAACTTAACCTTGGGGTTTCAGAAGCCAGAAGTGGTATCCCCTCTAGTCAGAAGGTAATCCCTTCCCTTAATGAACTGATTCTTAAACCTCCAACCTTGATAGGCAAGAGAATCATCTGAAGAGTTTGTTTAAAAAGGAGATTCTCAGGGGCACGTCAGTAGCTCAGTCAGTTGAGAGTCTGACTCTTGATTTCAGCTCCAGTCATGATCCCACATCGAGTCCCACTTCAGGCTCTGTGCTGGGCGTGGACCTGCTTAAGATACTGTCTCTCTCCTTCTAACCCACTCCCCTACTTGTGCTCTCAAATTTAAAAAAATTTTTTTTAATTTAAAAAGGAGATTCTTAGACTCCAGCCCTGGAGATTCAAATTGAGTAAGTCTGGAGTGGTACCCATATGATGCTGATGCAGTTGGTCAAAGACCGCATTTTAAGGAAATACTGCTTTTAGGTACTTTCCTGGTTCTCCTAGGGGAGAACTGTCTTGCTAGGTATTAAAGTAGCTTCCATTTTAGATTTGGATGCCATGCATTTGAAAGACGTTTGATTGGGGCACCTGGGTGGCTCAGTTGGTTAAGCGCCCGACTTCAGCTCAGGTCATGATGTCACTGCTCGTGGATTCGAGCCACGCGTAGGGCTCTGTGCTGACAGCTCAGAGCCTGCAGCCTGCTTCAGATTCGTTGTCTCCCTTTCTCTCTACCACCCCCCCCACCCCTGCTCACACTCTCTCTCTCTCTCTCTCTCTCTCTCTCTCAAAATACACAAACATTTTTTAAAAAATTTGAAAGACATTTGATCAACATTATTTGATACTGGTCTCCCTCCAGTATTAGAATAATAGAGTTTACCAAATGTCAGGTTAAGACCTGTGCCAACTGATTCTACAGTATCTATCTTATAGAACTCACTGGAATAATATTCCTAAAGGTTTCCGCATTTGGCTCTTTCTCTCTTGGCAGGATCTCCCAGCCATCCAGCCCCGGCTAGTAGCAGTCAGCAAAACCAAACCTGCAGACATGGTGATTGAAGCCTACAGTCATGGCCAGCGCACTTTCGGGGAAAACTATGTAAGAACCCTTTTCCAAACTGCCTTTGGAAGAGCTGTGATTGCCAGGCTTCTCACTTGTTCTCTTTTTATCCTTCAGGTTCAAGAACTGCTAGAAAAAGCATCAAATCCTAAAGTAAGTGGATGTCTAACTTCTTGAGTTGGCATCTAATCTCAGCTCTTCAGTTGAAAGTTAGACACTTGTTGGTGGTTGGGGTTTATAGCAGCGTTGACTGGAGTAGAAATGTCTATATTAACCTTGACCTCCAAATATTTCTCAGCTAGATTTTCTTTCTTTGTTAAAAGTAAGACAATAGGGGGCACCTGGGTGGCTCAGTCAGTTGGGTATCCGACTTCAGCTCAGGTCATGATCTCATGGTTCGTGGGTTCGAGCCCCGCGTCAGGCTCTGTGCTGACAGCTAGCTCAGAGCCTGGAGCCTGTTTCAGATTCTGTGTCTCCCTTTCTCTCTGACCCTCCCCTGCTCACGCTGTCTCTCTCTCTCTCAGAAATAAATAAAACATTAAAAAAAAATTTTTTTTTTAAAGTAAGACTATAGCTTCTTCCTTTGCAGCTTTTTGGATATGGTGATTTAGGAGCTTGCTATAATCCTGGATCCTTTGAGTTTGTAAAGCTTTAATCAGTTCATCCTTTCTTTCTTTCTTTTTCTTTTTTTTTTTTTTTTTTAAAGAAGGCTCTACACCCACCATGGGGTTTGAACTCATGACCCTGAGATCAAGAGTCTCATGCTCTACCGACTGAGCCAGCCAGGTGCCCCATAGTCAGTTGATCCTTAATGGATGATATCTAAAAGATGGAGGGAGCTGATGGGAATAAGGAAGAGAAACAGAGCAGAAGCCTGAGGTAGTAGTATCCTTAAGAGCCTGGCTAAAGCTGGTGATAGCAGTTTATTGCATAGACCTGAAAAGTCAGAAGGGATTGTGTAAGGTATTTGAGCCGGGAAGGCCTTCGTAAATTCTGAGTCAGACATGGGTACCTTTTTCTCTTCAGATTCTGTCTTCGTGTCCTGAGATCAAATGGCACTTCATTGGCCACCTACAGAAACAAAATGTCAACAAATTGATGGGTAAGATAAAATCCTAAACATGAAGACAAAATTTCTCTGTCATTATATTACTTAATACTACTTTCTGTGGAAAGGTGAACAGCTTTTAGAATAGTCCTCATTCACCATTTGTGTTTTGGAGTTTTGGGGGGAAAAGAAACATTAGTTCTTCATATAAGGAAAGAGCCTGGGTTGTATATACTTGGAGACCTACCCTACTTTGTTAGGTATCATTTGGTGGTCTTTCAAATAAATTATAAGGAATTGTAGCCCATAAAATTTTTCAGTTGTCAGGGGAGATGTTTTTACCCTTTTCCCTTTGAATGTAAGGCTGTGGTAAATAAAATACAATAATATACAATAAATTAAATATAGTATATATTGAAGTACAATTAAGAATTAACTACAAGAGAGGGGCGCCTGGGTGGCTTAGTCGGTTAAGCGTCCGACTTTCGCTTAGGTCATGATCTCGCGGTTCTTGGGTTCGAGCCCCGCTTCGGGCTCTGTGCTGACTGCCAGCTCTGAGCCTGGAGCCTGTTTCAGTCTGTGACTCCCTCTCTCTCTGACCCTCCCCTGCTCACGCTGTCTCTCTCTCTCTCCTAGAAATAAATAAAACATTAAAAAAATTTAAAAAAAAAAAAAAAGAATTAACTACAAGAGAACTTAATGCTATTACAATGACATGTGGAGATCTGTCTGAGGAACTGAATACTTACTTTTCTCCAGGTGTCTAAAATAACCTGTATTTTTAAAACAGCTTTATTGAAGTATAATTGACCTATAGTAAATTGTATGTATTTAAAATGCACAATTTGAGTAGTTTTGATGTATGTTTGTACCTGTGAAACCATCACAAGCAGTCAAAAGAGTGAACACATCCATCACCCCAAAAAGTTTCCTCATGCCCTTTGGTTTTTTTGTTTTGTTTTGTTTTTAATTTTTTTAAGTTTATTTATCTATTTTGAGAGACAGAGAGCAAGCTAGCAGGAGAAGAGCAGTGAGAAAGGGAGAGAGAATCCCAAGCAGGCCCAGCGCTATCAGCACAGAGCCCAATGTGGGGTTTGAACTCACGAAACATGAGATCATGACCTGAGCTGAGACTGAGTCAGATGCTTAACTGACTGAAACACCCAGGCACCCCACTTCATGCCCTGTGTAATAACCCCTTCTTCCCGCTCCTCCCTACTCCGCTCCTTCAGCACTGCTTACCTCCTTTCTGTCACTATAGATTCGTTTGCCTTGCTAAGAGTTTTATATAAATGGAATCATAAAGTAGTATGTACTTTTTTTGGTCTGACTTCTTCCACTCAGCATAATTATTTTCAGGTTTATCATGTTGATGTGTATATCAGTAGGTCACTCCTTTTTATTGCTTTATCCATTCACCTATTGATGGACATTAGGGTTGCTTCTAATTTGGGGCTGTGACAAATAAAATTGTTATGGGGGTGATGGAAAAAAGATGTTATGAACATCTTTGTATGGACTCTTTTCTTTCTTACGTTTATTTTTGAGAGAGAGAGAGAGTAGACAGACATAGAGCATGAGCAGGGGAGGGACAGAGAGAGAGGGAGACACAGAATCTGAAGCAGGCTCCAGGCTCTGAGCTGTCAGCACAGACCCTGACTTGGGGCTCGAACCCATGAACCTGAGTCAAAGTCAGACGCTTAACCAACTGAGCCACCCAGGTGCCCCGTATGGACTTTTTCTTATCTGTTAGAATAAATACCTAGAAGTAGAATGGCTGAATCTCACAATAAGTATATGTTTAATTTTTTTTTAATTCTGATAAAGTATATGTAACATAAAACTTATTATCTTTCACTGTTTATAAGTATTTAGTTCAGTGGCATTGAGTACGTTCACATCATTTGCAGCCATCACTACTGTCCCTCCTCCAGAACTATTTTCCTCTCTCAGAACTGAAACCCCATCCCCATTACGTACATTTAACTTTCTAAGAAACTGCCAAGCTGCCCTGCAAAGTGTTGTGCCATCGTACGTTCCCACAAGCAGTGCTCAAGTGCCTCCACGCCTTTGCCCACACTTACGACGCTCATTTAATCTTAGCCATTCTACTAGGTACACGGTGGTGTCCTTGCATCACCTTAATGGCTTATGATGTTCAACATCTTGTCACCTGGTTGCATCTGTTTATCTTCTTTGCTAAACTGTCTATTGAAGTCTTTTGCCCATTTTCTAATTGGATTTTTTTACTTTTAAGACAGGAGAATTCTTTATATATTCTGGCTACTAGTCCTTTATCAGATACATGCCCTGCAGATGTTTTCTTCCACTCTGTTGCTTGTCTTTTCATTCTCTTAACAGTGTCTTTTGAAGAGCCGAAGTTTCTAATTTGATGAAGTCCAAATTTATCAATACTGTGCTTTTGGTGCCGTGTCTAAAAAATATTTCTCTATGGTTCAGGTCACACAGATTTTCTCTTAGCAGTTTTATAGTGTTAAATTTTTAAAAATTTCTTAACGTTTGCTTATTTTTAAGAGATAGAGACAGCACAAGTTGGGAAGGGACAGAGAGAAAAGGAGACACAGAAACTGAAGTAGGCTCCAGGCTTTGAGCTATCAGCACAGAACCTGATCTGGGACTCGAACTCACGGACCACAAGATCATGAACTGAGCTGAAATCAGACGCTTAACCAACTGAGCCACCCAGGTGCCCTGTAATGTTTATTTTTATATTAAGCTTCATTATTCACTTTGAGTTAATTTTGTATATGGTGCAAGGTATGAGTCCACGTTCTTTTTTTTTTTTTGGATATCAATGTCTAATTGCTCCAACACTACTTGTGGGAAAGTCTGTCCTTTTTCCATTGCATTCCTTTGTCCCTTTATCAAAAGTCAATTATCTATGAGTTTATTTCTAGACTATCTACTAGCATGATATTTTGATTTATTGTAGCTTTATAATAATTCTTTAAATTGAGTACTGTTAGCCCCCAACTTTATTCTTTTTCTTTTCTTTTTTTAATTTAATTTAATTTAATTTTTTTTGCAAATAGTTTATTGTCGAATTGGTTTCCATATAACATCCAGTGCTCATCCCCACAAGTGCCCTCCTCCATGCCCATCTCCTCCCTCCCCCCCACATCCATCAGTTCTCAGTTTTTGTCAGCATTCAAGAGTCTCTCATGGTTTGCCTCTCTCCCTTTCCCCCACCATTTCCCCCCTCCTTCTCCCCCTTGTTCCTCAGTTAAGTTGCTCCTAATCCTCCTATACGTGCAAACATATATTTGTCCTTCTCTGCCTGACTTATTTCGCTCAGCATAACACCCTCAAGGTCCATCCATGTTGCTACACATGGCCAGATTTCATTGTTTCTCATTGCCATGTAGTATTCCATGGTATAGATGAACCACATCTTCTTGATCCATTCGTCCGTTGAAGGACACTTAGGCTCTTTCCATGTTTTAGCTATTGTGGAGAGTGCTGCTATGAACATTGGGGTACATGTGCTCCTATGCCTCAGCATTTCTGTATCCCTTGGGTAAATTCCTAGCAGTGCTATTGCTGGTTCATAGGGGAGTTCTACTGTTAGTTTCCTGAGGAACCTCCACACGGTTTTCCAGAGGGGCTGCACCAGTTTACATTCCCACCAACAGTGTAGGAGGGTGCCCGTTTCTCCACATCCTCGCCAGCATCTAGAGTTCTCTGATTTGCTCATTTTAGCCACTCTGACTGGCGTGAGGTGGTAACTTTATTCTTTTTCAAAGTCATTTTGGCCATTCTAGAGCCTCTGCATTTCCATATAACCAATTTGTCCAAATCTACCAAAAAAAAAAATCAAAAGCCCTGCCAGGTATTTGAATTAGGATTGTATTGAATCTACAGATCAATATGGGGAACATTGACATAGTAAAAATATTGAATCTCCCAACACATTAATAAGGTATAGCTCCTGTATTTCTTTAGGTTGTCTTTAATTTCTCTCAATAATATTTTGTAGTTTTCATTGTGCAAGTTTTCCTCATTGTCTGATTTATATCTGTGTTTTTCTTATATATTGATTTTATCTATTATGCTGTTGTTGATCCCATTACTTTAATTTCTGATTGTTGCTCATATATAATACAGTTGATTTTTGTATATTCATCTTGTATCCTGCAACTTTGTTAAACTTATTTTAGTAGCTTTTTTTTTTTTTTGCAGATTCCATATAACTTTCTACATAGACAATTATGTTTTCTATGAACAGACACCTTACTTCTTCCTTTCCAATCTGGATGCCTTTTATTTCTTTTTCTTGCCTTATTATACTAGCTAATACCTTCAATACAATATTGAATAGAAGTGCTGAGAGTATACATGCATATTTTTCATGATGTCCTTTATCAGAAGGAGAAATTTCCCTTCTAATCCTAATTTGCTTTATCAAGAGTAGAGGTTAGATTTTGTCAGATGCTTTTACTGCAGCCATTGAAATGATCCTTTTTCAGTTTATTAACATATTGAACTACATTTATTGATTTTCAAATGTTAAACCACCCCTACATTCCTAGAGATAAGCTCACTTGGTCATGCAATATTATCCTTTTACTATAATGTTGCATTTGATTTGTTAAGTTTTGCTTATAATGTTTGCATCTAGGAGCGCCTGGGTGGCTCAGTAGGTTAAGCAGTTTGGTTTTGGCTCAGGTCATGAACTCACAGTTCATGGGTTAAAGTCTCACATTGGGTTCAGCACTGACAGTGTGGAACCTGTTTGGTATTCTTTCTCTCCCTCTCTCTCTGCCCCACTCTCCCATATTTCTGAATAAGTAAACTTTAAAAAAAAAAGTGTTTGCATCCATATTTACAAAGGACATTTGTCTGTAGTTTTCTTTTCTTGTAATGTCATTTTTTAGATTTGATAACAGGATAATGCTGACCTCATAGAATAAGTTGGGAAGTATTCCCAACCCTTCGGTCTTTTGGTAGAGTTTGTGTGGAATTGGTATTGTCTCTTTCCTAATGGCTTAATAGAATTCACCAGTGAAGCCTGGAGTTTCTTTGTGGGAAGGTTT